TAATCACAGTGAATTCCTTGCAGCATGTCCAAATGTTTGATAGTGTTAAGAAGAGACACAATGTTTTTCCCTTTTGACAGTTTGGTTGACCCAACAAAGGGAAACAAATTTGCAAAGTGTGGATTGGATTATTGATAATCTGCTAAGCAGGATTTTCACTTTTTATGCAGGCGAGAGGAATTATCTCAGATACACACATGGAATTTCCTGAAGTTTTGCATTGGCGTGTTATCGACATACACTAAGACCAACAATATTCAACTAAAGAGGACTAAATAGGCATCTCACGGTTTTTGTACTGTTTGCTTTGATGGCTTCTTTCATTACAATGACTACTGCCAGTAGTATGGTTTGTTCTACTGTACACAGGGTTATTTTTGCCCCGTGTTATTTTCGCCCTTTCACACATGCAGGCAATTTTGTTTCATTTTAAATTCGCCCAGTCATAATTCTGTTTATGAAATTATACAGTGTTTTTTAAATTCGCCCCGTTTCATATTCGCCCACCTGTGAATAGGGCGAAAGGAGCAAAAATAAAACGGGGTCGAAAATTTCCCTGTATACCGTATTTATGAACTCGAAATCAATACTTCAGCTTGAAAAGTCGAGCACACTATTTTTATATTAAACACCAAGTGAGTTTCCTATATTTTTCGTCTTCTGTTTTCGGTAAAAAGTCTGAAGAGGCGTCTGTCATGGATGAAATTCTCTCCGTTGCGCCGTAATAACATCAAATGTCACCATTTTACCTCTCTTGAGCTTTCCAATACCCGGAAAACTGTCAAAATTTACTTCGAACATCTATACATAATGGCATAGAAGATACTTCAAGCTGATTTATTTTATGCCTATTATTATGAAAAAAGACTGGCCTATTCTCTGATGAACCCTGATTTTTGGGTGGTGGTGTGGTCGTGCGCCGTAGGACCATACCCTATGCTCATACATAATAAAAACCTTATTCCTGTCTACACTTTATCAAAAAAAGTTATAATATGTTTAAATACGATAAATAAAAAAGTTGCTGAAAATTTCAGCTAAGTGTGCCATTATTTATTAAAACCGCATTGTTGAGATTTTTACCGGACAACCTTCGTAGAGAATAAAGAGACTATTCTTAACTGAATAAAGCAACAAAGGGAAATTTATTGTGTTCAGATTTTGAAAAGAAATATATGACACAGGATATAAATTTACCTTCATACATCAAAGATATGACAATAATGAATAATTTATAAAATTTACACAGAAAAATTAAAGACTTGATTTTCTTACCGTATGCCTGTGATTACCTCAAGAGACAAAAAGGAGAAATAATTCATACATAACTGTGTAAAACTCGATTGTCTCATCACATCAACAGGGGAGAAGGAACATGAGACAGATTATAAATCCTTAGTGAACAGCTATTCATGATCAACATTAAGTACTCAGTTCAAAAGGTTAAAACAGGATACACAAATAGTTGTGTCGGGAAATGATACCTTCACATCTTCAGAAAAAAAGTATTTCCTTGAACTCAGTTGTGGCAACGGTAAAACTTGTGGGAGAAAATTGAAAAGAACAATCTTAAAATTCCTTTCAGAGAAGAGGAGATGCTAACTGTAATAAACCAATCCCAATTCAATGTATTTTCTATCATTATATTCTTTTAAACCATATCATTCTTCGTACCTGTAAGTGTCTGTGCCATGGTTTGAGTGCATTTATGAAACGATGATAATAATATTGAATTGTTCTTATTCCTTCTAACTAGTAATGAATATGAGTATATACTATGAAGAAGTTGATAATTCATTCATAAGCTTTATTTTTCTCTTTTTTCGAACTATATATTTTCTAATAAGTATGTAATATTTGAACCTGGAAATTCAAAAAGGAGTGGGTTGACTCTATAATATAGTCAACATAAAAAACGTCAACATTCTTATGTATGCCTTTCTAGGTTCAAATTTTATACTGATGTGTATCTATTCGTCCTGAAGAAATGCTATTTAAAAAACTCAGATATCGGAGAGAGAGAGAGAGAGAGAGAGAGAGAGAGAGAGAGAGAGAGATGTGACTAGCGAATCCTTGTTGTGCATGATATAATTAGAAAAAGTGTTTTAATTTCAGATTGAAGTAGTTTTCTGAAATGATAAATTATAAATAGCCTATTCTTATAGATTCAGTAAAATTATATCTTATCCTCCTATACAACTGTCTCCTTTCTCTTCTATTACACGCTTTTCAAACACTTGCATTAATCCTCTGTATATATAATTACACTACATGATGATGAGAGATAAACTTATAACACTTGACTTTCTTCCTGACTCAAATTCTTCCTTATACAAACATGCATCAACATATCTCAGGATTCTGTCTAATACTCTTCTTTTTTATTGTTTGTTTGTTTGTATTTTTTTTTCCCTGTCAAGAAACGAAAATCAGATTTGTTCAATGCATGGAAAGAAAATTGGTCTGAGATAATATACGATAAATCTAAGTTCTGGCAGTGTTTTCACGTGTATTGTATCGGTTTTTATATCCGCAAACCTGTAATACATTACATTTACTTCTTTTATTTACTTTATACAAAAACAAGCTCTGGTATTTGAATAAAGTGTATTACTGATAATCAATTCATTTCAACACACTAAAAAAATAGAAATTACAACAAAAATTGCAGGGCTGGTGTATTTTATGATACATGTACATAGAACCTAAATATTATTTTTGCAATGTATTTGCATATGATGACAAATATATCACTACTATATGTTACAGAATTAGCCACCATTACTTAAAGCATATAATTTAGGTTTTGTGCAACCATCAAGATTGTCATCGAGCCATTAAAAAAAATGAATTAATGGTTAAAAAAAAGAATTAATGGTTAACTATACATTAAAAAGATTATACATCAGAATGTTCTTTCCCTTTATAAATTACGAGATACACCTCAGATTTACTTCTATGAAGTACAACTTTAAAAATATATATGTTTTTCATATGAAATACACAAATTTTGCTTAATTATCATTTACTATGGACAGATCCACAGGTCCCTCTTTTTAGAACATTAAATTTTACTTATCGCATAAAAACGTACGTTACACAGTTTGTGTTTTATATTCATTAGGTCAAATATATTTTTGATGATAGGTGATACATGTGTCTCATAGGCATCGGAACCGGGGGGGGGGGGGGGGGGGGAGGGGGGCTTAGCCCCCTACTAATTTTTGTAGTATTAATAATTTGGCAAAAGAAGATATTATATTTTATTGATTTTCATTTTGTCAGGAATTCTTTGGTAACAATGACACTTGTTATAATTGTAATCATCATAACCTTTTGATATAATGCTTACCTCCTCCAAAAACCGTGAACAGGTTTAGACCCCATGCTGTGCAATGTGCACGAGGAAGTTTGAGCGAAGAACTCGTTTACAATGCTGATAGTAACACAAGTTTTATCATTGTGTTTGATCTGATGAGAGGATTAGATATTATAAATACGAATGTCTTAGCTTGCAAGGAAGAATATATTCTATGTATTTTAAAAATGTATGAATACCCCATACAGGTTAATGAAACAAATTCCCTTTAGCATGGAATCATTTATATTTACTTAGAGGTTTTAAGAAAAAATAATAATAATAATATGATAATAATAATCATTTTTGCATATCAGAAGTCTCGTTTACTGATTTTTTTTTAAATAGTCGTGTACTATCTAATTTTCATATAAAAATCAGTAAACGACAATTGAACTTATGTTAAAAGATTGACATGGGTAAAGAGAATATTCTGAAAATAAATCTTAAATTTTTCAAGTGTTTTATGGATTTAACAGAAGTACAATGAAACTTGTCTAATCAGGACCTTGTGTATTCCGAAATCTTGAAAAAAATACGATGTAAACTTTCAGTCCCTTTCAGTAAAATCAATTGTGTAAAATATTGTCTAATCCGGAATGTTGGTTAATCCAGCCAATTTCATGGAACCAGTGGTGTCCGGATAAGGCAAGTTTGGCTGTATATATAAGATTATAATAATAAAGATCATTTCTTGCACTGCATATTTCAGTGCAAATCTCAGACAAATACATGCTGAATGTTACAGACTCTTTCCCAGCAAATCAATTATTTAAATTTTCCTGTGTAAAATTTGAACCATTACTGCAGCTGTGCCCTTGTTCCAGGTTTCATAATCTACAATGTGTTCACAGTCACCTGAGTAACAACATGTATGATGGGATATTATTGCAAGAAAAACAATAATTTCTGTTAAAACTTTTTAATATATTAAACAATATTTGTGATTATAGCATAAAACCATTAAAGGTATGTTTTTCATTAAGAGAAATCTAAGTTAAAAAAAGTAATAAATTTGAATATGTCCTTTAATTTCTTTTGTATTTCTTTAGAAGATCTGTTAACGGTTTCATCATTTCAGCATTTAATATTACACACATTTGAAGAAGACATGTTTTTCTTTTTTCGATTTAAGCACTTTTCAATTCTCGCAACTATTTTATAAACGATAATAGTAACCAATATAGTAATATGAGCTTAAAAGAGGGAGTTTAGAATAAGAAAGATGACATATTTATATATCGGTGTGACAAAACAAAAGACGATCAAACCTTCACCAGAAAAGCTTACTTTAGCCTTTTGATGAGGTGGTAATCGCATAACGATTTAAACACTTAGATGAAATATATATATATATATATATATATATATATATATATATATATATATATATATATATATATATATATATATATATATATATATATATATATATATATATATATATATATATATATATATATATATATATATATATATATATATCAATTAAATGAAAAAAAAAATTAACAGTTGTTTGTGGTTGAGTGTCCTGTTAACTATTCGACAAAAACAACACAAAAATAAACACGCCTACAAACAAACGATTCCTTTTTGATTGAAGTAAAAATAAACTCGACTACAAACAAACTTTTCCTTATTGATCCAAGTAAAAATAAACACGCCTGTAAACAAACGATTCCTTATTGATTGAAGTAGATATTTTCTAATGAACTCTGTAGATGGTCATTGACAGCTTTGTAGATTAGCTTGTATTCCTCCTGTAAATTAACATGAAAACACACATTTTAGTCAGCAGGGGGTCGTAACATAAAGGGTACTTAAGTCTAAGACCATGCTTAAGTAGGACTTAAGTACAGTCTTAAACTTAAGACTGTAACTAGAAACGTACTAAGATTTGACAATCTTAGCAAAACTTAGGCGGCCGGTAGAGGTGACTTAAGTATGTCTTAACTTTCTTCAACATATATTTAGAACTATTTGAGGTTGACTTTCTATGTTAAAACATTCCTCTATTTATATAATGCATTAAAGAATAATTTTCTGTACCTAATATATTGGAATAAGAATTTTATTTTTTCGTCGGGGGGAGGGGGGGGGGGTTATTCATCACCGATTCCAATATCATTCAATATCACTAATCATTATAAGTAAATTGTACACAGTAATCATGGATTTGTTTGTTCACTGTGAAAAAATGAGATCAAATAGATTTTCAAAATTGTCGATAAATTAAAGGATGATGAATAGAAAACTAACAAAGATTGTCTGTAAAATAAATTGATTGAATGTATAACGCAACAAGCGAGGATTCAGACAGGGTTCACTACTGTTCGAGAGGGAGAGAGTTGTTGATAACTTGGAGATATACGAAAAATTGTTTTCTGAAAACAATTCTTTTCCATCCTTCATTAAATTGTAAATAAGTGTATCATAAAACGTCTGCAGCCAGTCTCTGCTTGTGATATTGGGAGGAAAAATTTCAAAATGTCCCTATTATTTTGTACTTTTTTTTATTTTAGTTTCAATTTCAAGTACATAGACGTTCGGTTATCGTGCCATGTCTGCGAGAATGATAATTTGAAAGCAAGTGAACATTTGTCAAAACAAATGAATAACAACAAACGGTAAACTGAAAACATCGCAGTCTCGAGTGATCGATAAACAATATTCACGCATTTACTATGAACCACTAGTGCCACTTTGTGACCGTGTAATATTTGTTTTCAAATATTAAGAATAATTTAAACAGAATTATACTTTAAATACGAAATCTAATCTAACCGAGCTAAAACCGATAGGCAAGGACGTCAACTTTAACAAATGTGTGATTAAAAATTTTACTAAATTATTTTTACAAATATATATATATATATATATATATATATATATATATATATATATATATATATATATATATATATATATATATATATATATATATATATATATATAAATTGAATAACTAGGATGATTCATAAAAAAATATTTTTGAACATAAGTTTGACTTAGCTAAGACCTAGCTAAGTCCTTTTTACGTTACGGTTTAAGACATACTTAAGTAGTACTTAGGCAGGTCTTAAGATTGAACCTAAAACATACTTATGACCCTACTTAAGTCAAAAACTTAGCAAGCTTTATGTTACGACCCCCTGATCGAAAGTGTAGTGTAACAATTCATTTCATGTATATCATCACAGAACAGACATTAATGAGTATACTTATATATGGTTATAATTTCAATGCTTTCGTCATTCTTAATTGAAGGGTAGATGAGCATTACATTGTGAAGGTATATTATAAATCATGCCTTTTTTTCGATTTTTTATTATAATTTTTTTTTATTATTTCATATTATTTATTTATTTATTTTCTTTTCTTTTTTGATATTCATTTTGTGCAACTGCAAAATGGTTGTTTTTTAATTGAAACACTCAAAATAATTTTTTTTTTTAAATTCGGGGAACATTTTTTTTTAAATACATGTAGCTAATTATAATAATAAATAATGAAGTCGGACAGAGAAATACTTACTATTTTATTGCAGAACTCTGGTCTTCTAATGAGAATTTGTCTCACAGAAGTGAAAATATCAGCACATTCATCTATGGTTATTTGTTCTACGATATTGTGTATTGCACAAAAGACACCACATAGGGAAGCGCCGTCTCTGTTTGAAAAGTAAACATTGAGAACTGTTATTCTGTTTTAATGTAGGCGATAAGTAAAGAAGATAGAAAATCGGTTTCATGTAATTGATGATTAAAAAAGAAAATGGTAGATTTTTAAAAGCAGCTACGATTTTTTTTTTTTCATTTTTTTTCTTTTTCATTATGAATACATGCATTTCTGGAATGGAATGTAAATCACTGCTAAAAGACAACTCCCGACCAGTCACAATAATGAATAATTAATATATATACGTAATTCTACATGCACACCTTTAGGTTGGAGAAGGATTTTATGTCACATTTCTCTTAGAAAAAATGTTTTTCGTACATTTAGAGAAAATGCTATGATGGATGTAACCTAACAACTGCAGACTGAAAATATTCTCCTTCACTACAATGAGGCTTGATGGTTGAAAATAAAAAGAAAATGAGGTGGGTGAGTATTTTGATCACTGTGTAAAAGCATCACGTCTGTACCAATGCCTATAAATAGCAATTAAATAAATAAAAAAAACAGAAAGAAAGAAGTAAGAAAGAAATACGTACATAAATACATAAATAAATAAGTAAAACAAATGCAAATTGTACTGAAATAAAATAAAATAAAAATATAACAAAGAGACATCAGGCCTTATTCCTATTAACCAATCATTATAATCAAGTACCTGCTCATCACAACAATGGGGTTTTCAGTATTGGTGTTTAGAGCAGCTGACACAAGATTCCGAAGCTGTGATGTGTCTAGTGAATCTCCAGATGATTTCATTTTCCCCGTAGGTTCGACAATCCTCACAATGTGTGCTTCATCTTCTTTCTATTTATACAATGATACGAAAATGCAATTTGTCTTAATTATGTGTGCGTTATATTTAAAAAAAATAATTTGAATGTGAAGGCAGGGAAGGAATTTCAAGTCAAATCTGTAACGTAAAATTACCCAACAGCCCCTCAATACAATTTAACTCCTGGTGAGCTTCATGCAAGTCAAGATTTTGGAATGCCATACTCGTTCATGACTATATTCATTCGAATGTGCTAGTTCGAAAAAGTACGAAATAGAGCGCCCATATGTATGGTGACTTTGAAAATATATTACACGTATCTAAAAATGCAAGTCGTATCTTGATTGATCTTCAAAATTGGACCAACCTACTTTTATGTATCCCTCCACTAACATAAACAATAGACTATATCTTTGTCTTTATGGGTAACAATCGTACACTTATAGGTCTATGTATCCGAAATGACAGTACATTTTCTGATATAAATAAAGATGTATATAGAAATTATATCAGTTACAAGAGAACATTTTTTGTGCAAGAGAGTTGGCGCCTTTTTATTTGAAAAAATATTCCTAGGTCAGTTAATTTAATACATGCATTTCTTTCTGAAAGCTTTCCTTCTCTTTGGTCCCTATTTCTCTCTCTCTAATAGATATAAATTACAGCTTTTGCCGTAAAAAATAATAAAGAAATACGACAAACGGAAAATTTTAGCTTTAGCTATTTTTGGCAAAACATGGTAAATTGTATTATTACGCAGCAATTTTATATACTATTTGAAAGTGCAAAAGCCACATTAAAAAAAAATTCTTTGATTGTGTATGGTGTACATCTCTTCGAGAATTTCCTTTGAATTGCTGCAAATGATGGAATTATACAAAACCAGACCTGCGCTCAGCTCTCATGGTTATTCTTTAACAAGGCTATAATTTCATACAGTTATACATGCATAATGCCTACTCATGCACTTAATAGAAATATGTTTTAGAAATATATTTTTCAAGGCGCTGGGAACAGCAAATTGTGTTCCATTGCCCGTAGCTAACAGCTGAGGGAAATTAAACTCAATGAGCTATCCAACTACCGAGAGGAATTTATTCTGATATTTTGCCTGACGAGGCATCTGAATATTTTATTACCTAATACGTTAGTTGCATAAAAACAAACAAACAAAAAAAAACTCTCTTTAGCTATAATAGAAACTTGATACTATAGAAAAATACAGTTTACTATAGCAAATATAGTTTACAAAAGTATTGTTTTTGTTAGGGATTGAACAGTGAGAACTCTTTTTCGAGCCAGCACCCATTGTAACACAAGACAGAGACCTGAAGCAACGTCTCACATTAAGATTCGAAACCCCATTGTAAGGATCATCTGTTTACTCCGCTCCTCTAAACGCTCTTAACACTGCACAATTTGGGCGACCAAAAAAAAGAAAAGAATTTAACCAACTCACTTTATCAAGAACAATCTGGATGGTGCTGCTAGTGACATCTGCTTGAGAATATGATTGACAGTGAACCATGAATGGAGGAACACATTTGGATGACGAACTAGAGGGTAACCATTCATTGGACTAAAAAATGTACAAAATATATGCATCTTATTATTTTAATTACTATTATTATTGGTTTACATTGAAGACTGTTTTTCTCAGCATAGAAACATTATAGGAAATTCTAACAAAAAAGAAAACAATTCCAAATATTGATTTAACCTCAATACGGTATTACTTTAGACATTTGTGTGTTTTTTTAATTGGTGCATTCTCCCTTATCTGATACATACTGACTGGATTTCTGCCAACGGGTCCATACATATGACTGTGTCACATTCATGATCCTTAAGCAGACGTAGGAAGTCAACAGCGTCCTCTGCCGCAGGATATGGCGTAACTATAAATCCTCTCAGTTTGGTAAAGGACTGAAAGTTTTTTTAAGACCATTATATTATGCAAATAAAATACAATGTATATATATATCCAAAACTTTATTTGAATATATATATATATATATATATATATATATATATATATATATATATATATATATATATATATATATATATATATATATATATATATATATATTGAAATACATTTGGAAAAAAAATACAATTTGTTTGGTAAATTAAACAAAAGTTGAAATTTTATATCTTAGCTCAATTTGAGACCTTGTTGTGTAATGACCATGCATTACAAACAATTTTCCTTGAAAGTAAGATAGTAAATAACATCTAAATGGATTGAAATGTGATATTTATTTTTATCATGTATTGAAAGGTTCGATGTAGACAGAGATAAGATAATTCAGTCCTTGAAAATACATGTATATACAATTGTAAACAAATATAAATTCATAAAGTTTGTTTAATCAAATAAAGTATGAAATTAACATCAACTTACTGGCACTGAAATTGCATTAATGTAGCTGCCTCTCTTTGGGACGTATGATGATAAGTGAACATTGTATTTGTCAACTGAAAAAAAAATATGTGTAATGAAGGGAAAAAAAAGAGGACAAAATCATTATTTCGATAACTCTTACGACTATTTAAGGACCGATTCCAGAGGCAGCAGAGACCTTGGTTTTTTTTCTATCTTTTTTTTTTGTTTATGGTCCTTGTGAATACTTTATAATCCAGAACATATTTTTGCCACTATTATGATTCCTTTTCAATTATTATGATTGAAAAAAAATGAAGATGCGGAAGTGTAATCAAACTCTAAATTCAATTAACAAACACACACACACACACACACACACACACAAAATGAGAACAGAAAAAACATGGATCCGTGAGATGGGATCAAGTGTCATGAAAACTTACGTGGAAGAATTCCATTATTATTTTTATTTCCACAACTCTGTTTAGAAAACTTGTAGTCTGCCTCAGTATAAATTGGCCTTATTTTAAGTAGAAGCTGCAATAAATAAATAAATAAATAAATAATAAAGTTTATTGAGTACAGAACAAATTTTTTTTGACATTTAATATAAAGATTTTTTTTTTATATGCTATAGGAGATTATTTTATGTTATGGAACAAGTTCTTGATATTTTACATAGAGGAAATGATCATATAAATCAACTATATACACGTTTATTCTAATGCATCGTCTTACTTCTTTCACAAAATGTTAAAAAAAATACTGTATCACCTTAATGGAAAAAGGTGAAGATAAAGAACAGTGTTTGATCTCAATGAAACCCACAGACTAGAAATCTGTGAACAGGTCATAAAACACGGACGCCAAAAATTCCAGAAGTGGGATCAGGTGGCAAAGAAGGAGTTAGCATCTCTTGTCGACCGGTCACACCCGCCGTGAGTCATATGTATTGATCAGGTAGACGAAATATTCTGTAGTCAAATTTAGTATACAAACGAAGGCCTAACAATTGGTACACATGTATGTAATATGTCAATCAAAACGCAACCCAATGATAGATTAAATTTGCTGAAAAGGTGATTGAATTTATGAAATACTGACTTTAAATGTTGTTGAAATTCTTTAACTTTGTGGCAATTGAGTGCCTTAGTTAGAAAATTAATCGTACTCAGAGCATGCTCTTGTTCATCGAATAAGTTGGAAGACATTAACACCATTCATGTGACTATTACTACATAGATAAGGAAAGTTGATGATGGAATAACTAAAAATATCTCGTTTGTCATATAACTTAGTTGTTATTTGGCCTTTACTGGCTATAGTCTGTAAAATACAATATGAAATATATATGGCCGACTCTGTGGTGTCTTTAATTCCGTACCTGAAATTCTTTATGAAGAACACTTTGATTGAGAGGCGTATCTTTTCCAGAGTTTTCAATCTTTTCCTTAATATCGTCTATGGTGTCTACCTTCATTGGCGCTTTGAAGTCTTCTTGTAAAGTCAGGAATATTGTGATGTATTGTTCCTGACGCATGAAATCAGAAGAAACAAGTAATAGAAAATACATAAACAGGTGCAATTGAGCATATAGTTTAGCATGTTGTTGGCCAGAATCAACAAGTAGGTAAAAACTTATTCAGCTTAAATTAGACAAATGTCTGAAAATAATTCTGCATGTACATGTACATGCCAAAAAATGCAATAGTTTATGCTCTTATTATTATTATTATTATTATTTGATAAATTCAGTAACCCTATGAAACCTTGCGATGAAATCAGAAAATACATTCTCTACTTTTTCAATCTAGAATAATCGACTCTTGTATACTCCAGTAAAAATCCCCCTCTACAGAGTTCATGAAGATGTTCATTTTATTTTTTAGATAAAACAGATAGGAATATTTACGTAGGTCTGGACCATGGTCATTCTGTTTTCTCTCATTTTTCTGACACAATCAGCAACATTGACTTTCCCTGTCTCGTTCCCTATCTGGTGAAGTATGTCCAACGCCATATATGTGCCTGTTCTACCAACCCCCGCGCTACTCAAAAGAAATATATAACAAGTCGTGCTGATTTTAAGTAAACATGCAATTTGATTTTATGTGGCCAGAATGTATAGATTCTGAAGTTGCTTAGTCATTACCAGTATTGTATAATGAAAAAAGTCATCAAACATATGGCCATTACTAAAACATATGGCCATCACTATATGCATTTGGAAGAAAAATATAATATTTTGAATAAAATTATCTTAAGGTGTAATAAAAACTATTTTGTATAAAAGAAAATTTGCTATTTCATTTTTTTTCTCATGAAGTGAGAGGTGAATGTTTTAATAAATACTTTCCCTAATGGACATTTATGGCAAACACTAGGTTTCAAGCTTTAAGGGGAAATGAATTAAAAATAAGCATGCATAACTTTTACGAAATACCTGCAATGAACAACAGTCGGTGCATTGTTCTGATTGGATTTGGTTCGGATCACGTGATTATGAAATATGATTAAACAAAGTGGATCTGGAGTTCCGTGATCTGGCCAAGCTGTGTAGTGATAATGTGTCAGAACACGTGACTTTTTCATCTGTTAAAGCATGAAATTCATTATATAGTTTTCTCAAGTTGCCCAAAAATATTTTTCTTATAATTATATAAAGACAAGAAAGAAATCTTTGAAATATGCAAAGGCTTAGTAACTGGGTATTCTAACATTACTAAAACTCTGTTAATCACGGAAATACACATAGCGTTTTAGAAAAAAACAACCTGAAATGAAAGGATCAAAGGAGGATCAGAAAGAAGGCCATATGTGTTACATACCTCTTTATTAATGACTTTTAATTTACGATTAACAAAGAAAGCGTATTCTCGTTCTTCCATCCATTTGACGGAGACAGGCCCATAATTAATGTGCTTGCCCTTATCAGGCCAGTACTGTGTACACTTAATCTAAAATATATATAAAGGATACTCTAGGTCTTGTAGTTGAATAAAATTAATGAAATATTTCACTAGCGGGACGGGATTCTTTATATATTTGTTTTCACCATTGTGCAGCGAATGAAAAATGTCAAAAAATCCTGTCTCATGAGTGAAATAAATTCCATATTCAACTGCAAAACATTGAATTTTGTTTATTACATTTTCGGTGATTTTTCCCTTTGCCTTTTCTTTTCGTAACACAGTGTCATAGGCTGTGAAGTCATAATTGAGCGGTTTAGACGTCAACGGTAAGAGATTATGAGTTTGAAAAAAAATGTAAATATGAATTTAACAACATATTTGGAGAAACTGAGTAAGTTTTAGTATCTTTCAGGATAGTTTATTTAATCTATCTTATAATATTTCAGGAACTTTAAAAAAAAAAACACTCTTCATGTAAGATAAACATATGGATTAATCTAAGATGGATGATTATTCTTGTTTCATTTAAGGATTTTTGTTATGAGTTGTTGGTTATTGCGTGAAATCAAAATTTTACAACTGTTGATGAATACAATGCATTGGGAAGCACTTATTTTAAATTATGCCTTTAAATCAGTACATTTAAAGCAATAGATGCTTTCATTACTAAGAGGATTAAAGCAACATTGCTGCATAGATTCATGAATGATTTTTTAAATATAAAATAAGGAAATAAACATCTTACCTTTTCCCCTTCTCGTAGGTTAGTCAACATTACAATAGTGGATATATTCTCTTGCCAAAGCATTGTCCAGAAATCACCAAGTGTATTTTGTTTTGGACCTTTAAATATACCATTATACTTTAATTCAATATATATTTAACTAGTTATAACTGTAACGGGGACCGTTACAGATGTTCCCCAAACGCCCCCCAACTCCCTTTTGGTGTCTTATTTCCTGTAAGCTTCATTAAACAAGAGGCCCATGGGCCAGATTGCTCACCTGAGTAACTTTGGCCATCCTGTTCTTTACCAGATTTCCCTCTTGTAATACTTATTATGGCCCTGCCCTACCCCCGGGGTTCATGATTTTAATAATTTAAAATCTACACTATCCCAGGATGCTTCCACATAAGTTTCAGTTTTTCTGGCCCAGTGGTTCTTGAGAAGAAGGTTTTTAAAGATTTTACTTACATATTTCAAAGTAAAACTTGGATTTCCTATTGTGGCCCAGCCCTACCCCCGGGGGTCATGATTTTTACAATTTAGAATCTACACTACCCCAGGATGCTTCCACATAAGTTTCAGTTTTTCTGGGCCAGTTGTTCTTGAGAAGATTTCTAAGGATTTTTCTTAGATATTTCAATATAAAACTTGGATGCCCTATTGTGGTCCCGCCCTTCCCCTGGGGGTCATGATTTGAACAATATAGAATCTACACTACCGCAAGATGCTTCCACATAAGTTTCAGTTTTTTCTGGTCCAGTTGTTCTTGAGAAGAAGATTTTTAAAGTTTTTTTCCTATTTATTTCAATGTAAAATTTGGATTCCCTATTGTGGCCCCACCCTACCCCTGCGGGTCATGATTTGAACAATTTAGAATCTACACTACCCCAGGATGCTTCCATATAAGTTTCAGCTTTTCTTCCCCAGTGGTTCTTGAGAAGAAGATTTTAAAAGATTTTTCTTATATATTTCAATGACCGTTCACGGTAGCTCAGTCGGTAGAGCGCTCGCTCCGTGATCGGGAGGTCGTGAGTTCGTATCTCGGCCGCGACTGACCTAAGTCGATAAAAAATGGGTAGCAACTGTTCCTTCGCCATGCGCTCGGCACTTTGAAGTGAAAGTTCCGGGTCCTTCGGATGAGACCTTAAAAACCGAGGCCCCGTGTCACGGCAGGCGTTGGCACGGTAAAGATCCCTCACTGCTCAATGGCCCTGAGTGCCGAGTAAAGGTCAAAATTTGAAGCTCTTCACCGGTAAATGGTGACGTCTCTATATGAGTGAAAGATTCTCGATGGGGACGTAAAACAACATACAATCAATCAATCAATATATATTTCAATGTAAAATTTGGATTCCCTATTGTGGCCCCGACCTACCCCCGGGGGTCATGATTTTAACAATTAAGAATCTCCACTACGCCAGAATGCTTCCACATAAGTTTCAGTTTTTCTGGCCTAGTGGTTCTTGAGAAGAAGATTTTTAAAAATTTGTCCTATTTATTTCAATGTAAAACTTGGATTCCCCATTGTGTCCCCGCCCTACCAACGGGGGTCATGATTTTAATAATTTAAAATTTGCACTATCCCAGGATGCTTCCACATAAGTTTCAGCTTTTTTGGCCCAGTGGTTCTTGAGAAGAAGATTTTTTAATGACCCAACCCTATTTTTGTCTTTTCTTGATTATCTCCCATTGTAAGGGGACTTGGCCGTTTATTTTAACAATTTAAACTCTTTACCAAAGAATACTTTGTACCAAGTTTGATTAAAATTGGCCCATTGGTTCTTGAGAAGAAACTGAAAATATGAAAAGTTTACAGATGGACGGACGGACGGACAGATAGACGGACGGACGGACGGACGACGGACATCGGGTGATCAGGAAAGCTCACTTGAGCTTTCAGCTCAGGTTAGCTAAAAAGGCAATCAAGTATATTGATCGTTTTACGCATTGCACGCGCGCGTACGTGCATGCATGTGCAGGATGACCATGTCATCTCGTCTATGCTATAAATGCATCTTAATTCCGAGTATCAAAACATTTAATCAAAAAATATAAAAGTTACGGCTATATCAAGTATATTGGTCGTTTAAGCATTGCATGCGCGTGCACGTGCATGCATGTGCATGTTGACCACATCATCTTATGTACTCGATTAATATATTTCTATATTCTGAGTATCAAAGCATTTCATAAAAAAGTATAAAACTGACGGCTATATCAAATATATTTGTCATTTCAGCATCGCACGTGCTTGCATATGCACGATGACCATATCAACTTGTCTACACTTTATATGTATTTCTATTTTTTGAGTTTCAAAGCATTTCATCTAAAAGTTTTAAAGTTACGGCTATATCAAGTATATTCCTCATTTAACGAATTGCGGCACGTGCATGCCTGTTCTTGCGTTCATTTTTGATGGTAACATAATGTAGGAATCCATTATACCTATTTATATTCTAAATTTCATCCTGTTTTGTTGAGAACCAAGAAAGTTATAGCCATTTAAAGTTTAAACCAAGCAGACTGCAGCACACGTGCATGTGCGTGTTTTCACGGTAATTCTTATATATTATATTGTAGAACTTCCTAATGTATGACTATGTTTTAAATTTCAAAGTAATTTGTCAAAAAACAAGAAAGATATTGAGTCTCTTGTTTCAGCCAATCAGAGCAAAGCACACGTACATGCGCGTGAGTTCATGCTATTGTGACCCTGTCATCTTGTCTACATTACTAATATATCCTTATGTTATGAGTTTCAAAGCATTTCATCAAAAAATATAAAAGTTACAGTTATATTAAGTATATCAGTCATTTCACTCATTGCATGCGCCCGCACGTGCATGAATGTGCGCGCAAAATGACCATGTCCCGCACATCTACACAACATACCTACTAACCCTAAAAAGGTTTCAACTCAATTTGATGGGTAGTTTACGAGATCACTCGCGTACAAAAAAATACCCAGGAAGAAGAAAAATAATAATAACTAGAAACTCATTGCAAGCAATGAGAGGTCTTCCGTCCGATTTTGAAAATAAAAATAAAAATTCAAGCTGAGAAAGTGATAAAAGAATTTCAGAGACTCTGGAGATTTAACCCTAGTAGTCAGCGTGAAAATCCAACGTGCTAACAATTAACCATTCACTTTTATGCATCACTTCCTGTCACGACCGGAAGAAACGGCGATACAAGATTTTCTCACGATTTAAATAAAGTGATGACTGACTATCAGTCCTGAAAGTTTAAGACTTCAATCGTTTACTGTTGCCGAGCAGTATTGTGAGAACAAATTCTAATTTTGAGGACAGGTAGTCACGCGACCGGAAGTGAATTTTAGAAAAATCTCTGACTTTTCTCTAGACATTTGCAGTATCTATAACAAACATTTCAAGTACATTATCGATAAGCAATATTTATGAGAAAGTTAATATTGAAATAACGTAGTTTATATCCTAAAACCGGAAGTTGACGTTTTCGATTCTGGTTGAATCTAACATATTTCAAAACAGTGAAAAAGATGCAATAAAGTGATGCAAACTTTAATTTAAAAAAGAAAAGTTAAAATCTTTTATTTCTTTGATCACTTCCTGTGACGACCGGAAGTTACGACTGACGCGTTAAACCAAAATGATTTTGCCTACTCCTCAAGGTCTGTTACTCATAAAAGTCTGGTGTCTTAATCTCTCACCTGGTGTCTTAATCTCTTAACTGTTCTTGAGATCTCGCTCAGACAATTTCTCATTTTGAGGACAGAAAAAAACGCGACCGGAAGTGGATTTCTTAAAGATGTTTGAGGATACTCTAGACATTTGCAGTCTGAATAATATTTAAAATTCATTTCAAATACTTTTTCTATAAAGAATATTTATGGAAAAGTAAAATACTCAAATTATTTAGTTTTTCTCTTATAATCGGAAGTTGCCATTTATGTTTCCGGTGGGACCAACATCTTTCGAATCTCCGAGAAAGGTGCAATAAAGTGATGCAAGTTTCAATTAAAGAAGGAAGAGTTGAAATTTTCGATTTCTTTGATCATTTCCTGTGACGACCGGAAGTGACGGCTGACGCTCTAAACATAAGTGGTTTTGGCTTCATCTTAAGGTCTGTTGCTCATATAAGTTTGGTGTCTTAATCTCTTACTGTTTCCGAGATCTTGCTCAGACAACTTCTCATTTTGAAGACAGAAAAGCACGCGACCGGAAGTGAATTTTACAAAGATATTTGACGTTACTCTAGACATTTGCAGTCTGCATAACATATTTAAAATTCATTTCAAATACCTTATCTACAAAAGATATTAATGGGAAAGAACAATACTCAAATTATGTGGTTTTTCTCTTATAACCGGAAGTTGACGTTTTTGTTTCCGGTAGGACCAACATATTTCAAAACTACAAAAGAGATGCAATAATGTGATGTAAGTATTGATTTAAAAAAGGAAAGTTGAAATTTAACGATTTTTTGATCACTTCCGGAAGTTACCGGAAGTGCCGACGACGCACGAAAATGTGCCCTCTCCAATCTAGAAATCATGTTCTATCATCTCTAACAAGTCTCCAGTTAATATCTTAAGCCATTCTTGAGAACACTCGCGGACAAAATTTCATTTTAAAATCAGAAAATTGTCCATAACTTGGCACTGGAACCGAATATACATATTCATATAAAGACCTTTCATCCCTGAAAATTTCAAGGAAATTCATTGAATAGTTTTCGAGAAATCGCGTGCACAAAATTTTGTCTTAAAAAAAGAGAATAATAATAAGAAACAATACAATCACTCTAAGGTCTTCCGTGGAGACGGAAGACCTTAATAATAATAAAAAGAAGAAACAGTAGAATCACTATAGGTCTTCCGTTGAAAACGGAAGACCTAATAATAATAAGAAGAAACAGTAGAATCACTATAAGGTCTTCCGTGAAGACGAAAGACCTTTATAATAATAACTAGAAAATCTGCTATTGCAAGCAATAGCTTATGTCACCCCGAACTGATACCAAAACTGATTGATTGATGCTCAAAGAAAGATGCATTTAAAAAACACATACACATAAACATACACTCAAAAGGAAACACTTTATGTTTGCTTGCTTTGGTGAAACCCAAATT